GCGTAGACCTATCAAACAAATGTTTCACACGATTGATTTGGCACAGGCTACCTGTACACTTAGATACAACATCGGTCACATGTTCGTCAAAACTAAGGCGCGAGTCCACGATGACCCCCAAATCTTTTGCAGAACGAGACGGTAGAATCTCCTTACCGAGTAGCGTAACTCCAAAACCCTCCGGCACACGAGCTAACATCTGCGGGGTTCCAAGAAGCAATAACTTAGTCTTATCTGGATTTATCAGCAAGCTGTGTGTGCAACACCAGGCGGCAATCCGTTGCAAATCTTCGGATAAATGTTCCACAGCCATAGCTGTCTCCTGGACAGGAAACGAGAGATAGAGCTGGGAATCATCCACGTAACTCTTTAGTGAGCACAGGTTAGGGACAGCTGGAAGATCGTTGATGTATATATTAAAAAGGGCTGGTCCCAAGATCGACCCTTGAGGTACACCATAAGCTACCTGGCGAGGATCTGACACCTCACAACCAATCCTCACCCGCTGATTCCTGTCCGTCAGATAGCTTCTAAAACCATTCCATGGCCTGTATAGACACACCCAGTTAAGCTAAACCGAGATCTGACCAATGATATGGTTTTCGATCTGGAAGATGCCATAGCGTTTTTAAAATCCAAATTGAGATTTCACGTCTCAAGGCTTTTATGTGAGCTAAGATGAGTGAAATCCCCTTTACAGGCCTTTGTCATCTGTAAGTAGGTCGAGAGCAAGAGAACATAAAAGCCACTTGTTGAACGTTAATTGGCATTTGTAGACGGCGGCAATTCGACTGCTCGGGAGTGACTCAAGTGCAACCTAAAATGAAGGAATTTGATCGGCGGCTTGATATTCCACAGAAACGTTTGGAGCTTCCTTAACTCCACCATAAAGTGACGACTCGTAATTAGTTGAGGCAGGAGAACATAAAAGGCTTTTATATTCTCTTGGCGGTTAGGGTTATTTCTATGAATTTAACTGCCCTTGAAAAGTAAAAAACATAATTTTTCCCTTCTAGGTTTGATTATTTGAGGATTGTAGATGATGACAACAGAACACTTGGTACATATTGTGGGAGCGAACTTAGTGGAAAGGTAGTTTTGGTCAATGGAAACTACGCATTAATAACATTCCGCTCTGATGGTTCTGAAGAATACCAGGGATTCCAGCTCACGATATTGTTTACTGAAAATCAAAATGGTATGTTCAAATAAGAAGGGATTCTTTCATAAAAAGTCAATAAAATGAAATAAAATAAAATAAAGAATATAAGTAAGTTGCCATTCAGGTAAGATATCAAAGTTGATGTTTAGAGGTCAAGGTGAGGTACGCGTCATTTTTAAGAAAACTGATAAACAAACAATACAACTAATATTGATAAAATAGGCAAAATTAGAGGTAATTTCAGCCATTTTTTGGTGTTAAGCAAACTCTAAGTCTGACTAGGAACACTATACAATCTTTCATTCGGGGTTATGCTGTAGTGGAGTATTTCTTAACGATCTCGCAATTTTTTTTTTAAACTGTGTTCTCAAGACTAAGATCCTGATATCGGGGATTGAACAAGATGGTACTGAGATTTTACTGCATAGTACCGACGTTTAAGACACGTTCGTTTGACCGTACTTTACGTCTTTCTCCGAGAGAAAGTGCGAAAAATGTTCTTTCCAGTAGACTGCAAAACAGTCGGTTTTTTTCTCAAAATCAGTAAAGAAATCGGTAAAGCGTGACGTAAGAGTCTTAAGCGCGAAGCGCGCGAGCCTCACACGCCCGTAAGGCGTGTGAGGCCCGACAAAAAACCAAGCATTAGTATTCCTTCTCTGTGAAATGTAGTATATAAAGTGGAGGATCAAAAATGAGTGGAAGAGGCAGTACGCCAACAAAGCCTGTGCCTGCTGCTCGAAGAGGGAGTAAGCCGAAAGATACGAGCGCTTCGGATAAATTGTATAATTTCAAAACACAGTTTGGCAATTTTATGAGTGGATGGATAAGCTCGGAAAATGTGTTTTCTCCAGAGAAGGAGAAACGTTACCAAAGTGGGCCGACCTACTGAAAAACGAACTTTTCGTTGTCCTCGAGGAAGGAGAATCTTTCTCCTCGAGAGTTTGCTCTCCGTGTGAAACAAAGGTTAGAAACTGGGCTGCGATGCTTTTCCAAATTAGGAAAAAACTGAACACGCCAACTGACAATGAACAATTATTTCGACTGAAAAGAATGGGTAAATCCCCTCATTCATATCCACTTCTTCGTGATTTGGCTCTGTAAATCACTATCCGTGAGAACGCTAACGAGCTGGGCCCAGCGTGACAAAACCTTGCACGAAAAAGTCACATTCATGGACACAAAAAAAAAATGGCTTAGAATTATTCAAATCCAGGAGGAACTTTGGAGAAATTAACAACCTAAAACCCTTAATCAGCCGCAATGAAGAACTTTACATTTCTAAAGAGACCGAAAAAGAAAATGCTCTTGCATCAGTGGGCAAATCACGGCGACCAGAGA